CAAGTACAGGTTCCAAAGGAACAGAGAAACCCTGTCTTGAAAAACCAAAACAAATAATAATAATAATAATAATAATAATAATAATAACAACCCTGGGTCAGATATAGGAGTTAATGCTGAAAGATCAGAGAAGTAGAGCATCCAGTCACTAGTTCTCACCTCTACAGAATCCTCAGAGCAAAGGGGAGATCCTGTCTCTACAAATCATCAGACTGAATGCAATGACCTCCTGTCTCCTCCAGCCTTATATTCCCCTCTCTGCCCAGCCACACCACTCCTGTCTCCACCTCCCTAGTGTGTGTGTGAGAGAGAGAGACAGAGACAGAGAGACAGAGAGACAGAGAGAGAGAGAGAGAGAGAGGAAGGAAGGAAGGAAGGAAGGAAGGAAGGAAGGAAGGAAGGAAGGAAAGAAGGAAGAGAGATACTCAATGTCCAGAGACTCTCTGAAGCCCTCAAGAGTAGCACTTACGGAATCTCAGCTGACTTTTAAGATATAACAAACAAAAGTTATATATACCCTTGGCACTGGAGATGACTCAGTGGTTAAGAGCACCAACTGCTCTTCCAGAGGACCCAGGTTCAATTTCCAGCACCCACATGGCAGCTCACAACTGTCTAACTCCAGTTTTGGTCAATTTAATAGGGGTCATCTATAAGATTCCAGGAAATTATTAAAGAGTCGCTTATCAAGGATTAAACCCAATTTTACAAAAAATGCTCAAAATGAGAAGCAGGAAAAACCTATAGTAATTGAGGACTTACATTATTCTCAACAGGGTCCCCAAAGTCAGGTGCAAATAAGTGAATCCGTGGTGCCATGTCCATAGCCCCAACTATTATTGACCTCCCAGAATGCACATTGGTGGCTCACAGCTATCCAGTTTCAGGGGACCATGTGTGGCCTCCACGGACACAAGATATACACACATGGTACATAGATACACATGCAGGCAAAACACCCATACACATAAAATTAAATGAATAAAATAAATTGTTAATTAGAATTGTTTCTTCCAGAATTCAACAAGTTGTTGTACAATGATAACATTGTCCCATCATTCCAAGACACTCTAAGGTACTATGCCCTACACTGTTTCATGGCTTTGGCCCTTGCTCGTAACTTCAAATGATGCTTCCTATGAGATGCCAACACTTGACCTTCTTCTACTCAGGGCTTATAGATCACCAGTAATCCCTGGCTCTGTAAACTATACATACCACCTCTCCTTAGCATAAACTCTACTGAGGGACATTTCTGGCATGCATTTCTGGCTATCTAGAAATAGAGTGGTAACTGCCTCATGACCCAATAAATTGGATCTTAAAAACCTTGAATGTGATCATCGTTATGATAAAAGCAAATGTGAGTTAAAATGTTAGGGCTGAAACAGATGGTAGACACTGAATGGGCAGGGTCTTGCAGCTGATACCATAGCCTAGCTAAGCAGAGAAGATAAAGGATGAGTCTCTAACAATAACAAATCCTTTGCAGAAAACTCAGTCTTGCTTTAATCAACCTACCTTTTGTCTTCATGCTAATCACAGGCCTATTTTTTTTTTTACAAAGGGGCTAGAGAGGTGGTTTATCAGTTAAGAGCACTAGCTGCTCTTCCAGAGGAACCAGGTTCAATTCCCAGCACCCTAAAAGGCAGCTCATAACCTCTATAATGCCAGTTTCCGAAATCTGATGCCCTCTTCTGGCTTCTGTGGGCCCTGCATGCATGTGATGCACACACATACACACATGCAGACAAACACTCAGACATACAAAATCAAATAAGTAGGAAATGGAGAGATGCATTTAGTAGTTAAGAATGTGCACTGCTTTCACAGAAGACTTGAGTGCAACTCCTGGCACCTACATCAGGTGGCCCACCACTGGTAACTCCAACTCCAGGAGATCCAACTACACACACACACACACACACACACACACACACACACACACACTTTTAAAAGTAGTAAAAATTTAAAAAAATAAATCTTTAAAAAATTGTTATGAGCCAGGCAGTGGTGGCACATGCCTTTAATCCCAGCACTCAGGAGGCAGAGGCAGGCAGATCTCTGTGAGTTCAAGACCAGCCTGGTCTACAGAGTGAGTTCCAGGACAGCCTCCAAAGCCACAGAGAAACCATCTCTAAAAAAATGTTATGAAACAACATAGTAGTTTTTTAATGTTCCATAGCAAAACATGAACAATTTAAGGGCTGAATACAATTTAAATTACATTGGTAAATTGCCATGTGCTTACCAAGAAGGAGACTTTAGGATTAAGAAGTTCTTCTTCTCCCAGACGTGTTTACTTGGAATGTCCTCCAAGGCTCCCTGTCCTGGCAGGCCGAACCACTAACTCCATGGCAAAGAGAAAGGAGAGTAGCTAAGGGTATATTGAGGACATCACACCCTTGAGAACAGCTAGAAGAAAAATCATTTCCAGCAGGTATGGCTAGTGTTTATCTCTGATATTAGATGTCTGCGTGAGAACAGGAACCTAGCGTTCCATGGTGAGGACTCTGCTCCTCCCAGGACTTCAGCTTCCCTAGTCATCCCTGCCAGACGCTGTATGTGCCCATTTTGAGGATGTCTTATGATCTGTCTACTGCTTCTATTGGCTAGTTGATATTTTTCTTTCACTTTTGCTTGCTATGCAATTAATGAACTCGCTCACTCAAAGAAGGAAGCGTGACTTTTGTAGCTCATCCTCCACACAGAGCTCAGGGCAACGCCAGTCTCCCAGAGTGTGTACCCTTTCTGATGCCTGTGGAATGCTACGAGGAGGCTTTGGTGGAATTCCCGACGGAAGCCATGGCATTGGACCTTAATTTTTGGAAAGGTTTTCTGTTGCTGATTTAGTCTCACTGTAGATTTATCCACATTTTCTGATTCTTCATGATTTACACACGAAAGCTTCTATGTTCTTAGAAATTTCTTATTTCATCCAAGTTAGCCAATTTTTTAATATAAAGTTTTATGCTATTCCCTTTTCAAAATTCTATTTTGTTGTCGTGTGTGTGTGTGTGTGTGTGTGTGTGTGTGTGTGTGTGTGTGTTCATGTGGGTGCAGAAGAGGCAGTGGATTCCCAAGAGCTGGCATTGTGGGTAAGTGCGAGCTGGCTGAGGGGGATGCTGGAAACTGAACTCCAGTCCTCTGAAAAGAGCAACCAGTGCTCTCAACACTGGGTGTTTCTCCAGCCTCCTGCTCCCTTTTCTGTTTCGGCTGAATTGAATTCTGGCGCACGTGAGTTTTAAGGCAGGAGTATTTGGCTAGGCTCTGGTGAGCCATCCCTGAGTGGCTGCAGCTTCACTGAGCTCACAGTCTCATGCATTTAAAATAGGATTGGAAGACCAAATTTGGATAGCTCCCTATTTTGCAGAACTATATTAACACATACAAATCTATGTCTGCGATCCCCACATTGCTTTCAGTGAAAGCCCTCAGGGGACAGGCCTATCAGCTCTCAGACATGACTGTGCCCTGTCTGCCTGCCTCAGGTCTCCCCTCTGTCTGTGTGTGAATGACCCTGGAAACAGGAGCAGCTGACAGAAGTACAAACCACGCCAGCACTGCCCCGTGCTGGCACTCACATTCAGGCCTGGAAGCAGCCCATCCCCCTTTCACACTAAGGGATTGTATCCATACAGTGGAGACACAGAGTCCCAGCGTTAGGAACACTGTCTGGGGTTTGCATAAGTATATACCTTTATGACCATTAGGAGATCTAAACAAGTCATTTCCCTCTCCTCAAAAGCATCCTTTATGTATAGAAGACGGGACAGACTCCAGGTCTCACAACCACATGGAGCAGGAAGTGTGATATGAGCTGTGTGCCTCCATGTATGAGCGCTGACTGGAAGAGTCCCTCAGGGACTGTCCCAACTCTACTAGGAGTGGCAGCAATGTCCTCAGGCTGTGCAAAATTGTCCTCCACCCCCACACACTGTCCAAGATGGAGAGGTTACAGTCTCCACTTTCTGAAGGAAACACTTGCTCTAGTCGACCTGACTATGGTATGAAGCTGTCCCCTCCAAAGTTCACCTCTGACTCTGTCCCCAGGGTACTAGTGTTAAGGGATGGGTTTGGCAGAGCCCTGTGGACTCAGCTGTCCCAAACAAGGGCTTGTGGAAGAGAGTGTGCTTTGCCACACAGATGCAGAGCACACTGCATAGAACACTCCTTCCCTAGGGAGTATGACACTAGGCGCAGGCGCAGGCTAGAGGGAAGAAGCCTGCCTCACACTTCCGCCTGCCTCAGCTGTGAGGAATGCATTTCTGCTTACTTCATGCTGTCCACGTGTGATCCTCGGAAGTCACAATGCCAAATGGACCAAGTCTCCCCAGTAGCCTCACCCCAAGCTCTTTAGGTACAGTTGGCTGCAGTGGCAACCGCCCTTTTGTTTTGAAGCAGGGTTTTCATACATGGCATTTTAAACATAATCTCCCCATCACCCCAGTTGCTGGATTAGGATTGCAGGCCTATGGCACCGTGCCCAGTATTCTTACACCCTTTCTCAAATGCTTTCATCTAGAAAAAATCCCACTCTGCTTTCCCTCACTGCCATGGGCATCACTCGTGCCTACCTGGTTAGGTCACCTACCTGGTTAGGTCAGGCCTGCATTCATCATCTGACTTGTATTCCTGCTTCCTCGGGCTGTGAGTCTAGGAGGGCTGCCCAGTGAGATGGGATGAAGACTGTCGTCATTCCTTCTGAGAAAAGTCCTTAAGAGAACACAGGGCTATAGGAGGGGAGTTTTATAGGGAGGTGGGTTGGTTGATCACATCTGTGAAAAGATCAGTCAATGAGGTTTGAGTCAGGAGAAGAAAGCTGGAATCTGGAAAATTCTGGTCTGAAAAACAGCCAAGACAGTGCCAAGTGGCCTCCACCCCACACCTCAGAGAACAGCCGTAATCCCAGCCCACAGAGAGAGAGGTTAGTGGACCTCCCATCCCCAGATCACGTCTCTGTCTCAACAGTTCCATGGTTCTGTGATGTCACTGAAGAGAGAAGAATGGAGAGCTGGATCCGTCTCTGGCTTCTCCAAGTCCTCTCGCCTTTGGGTTTTGGCAATTTTGGGGTGAGGGGAGGTGAGCTGAGTGATCAGCGTGTCCCAGCTCAGTCTCCCCTCTGGCCACCACTGCCCCTTGCCACCTTTATGAAGAGAAATTAGGCAACGTGAGTCACTTCCACTAAAACCACCCAGGCACCCTTTGTGGAGCTCACCAGAGCCATAGGACAACAATGAAAACTGCCTTTTATTCTTCTGCTTCTAGAAAACATAAAGAACAAGAAATCTGCATTCAAACTGGGCTAGAAAAGAATGTTTGGACAAAATGAGGTTGACAAAATGGACGAGACTTCGAAATCGAACCCTGTGGTCTTTGAGACCACAACCATCACCTTCTTCATCATCCTCCTCATTTGCTTCATCTGTATCCTCCTCCTACTGGCGGTCTTTTTATATAAATGGTATACGCCCCTGTTGATGATCAGGCTTCAAGTTTCAGCACCAAGTGTGCCTAGGAATAACAGGAAACCACTGTAAATAGAACAAGGGGGAACCCGCTGGTGCTGCACACCTGTAACCCCAGAATGTTGGAGGTGGAAGCAGGGGGATTAGTGCTTCAAGCTTGCTCTTCATTACATAGAAACTTCCAGATCACCCTAGGCGATGAGAGACCCGGTCTCAAAACCCCAAATAAAATAGGATAAGCAATGTGGCAACTACCTACTTCCTCCACTCCAGGTCTCTGAAGTGCCAGCTCCCTGCTTAGAGTAAAAGTCCCACCGCGCACCTTGGCACCCTCTCTCTGAAGTCTCACTTGCCTTTAGTTTCAGAGGCAAGATCACCGAGGAGACAGTGAAGCCCCCTTGCACTGATGAGAATGAAGGTGAAGATTGTTTAGCTGCCAATGCAGAGATGAGCAAACCCGAAGATCAAGAAAAGTGAGTCTGGGAAAAGGGCTCAGCGGGTTGGTGGCTTTGCTGGTGAGGCGTGACCACCTGAGTTTGGTTACCCAACACCCACATAAAAAGCAGGGTGCAACAGTAACACCTGTAACCCCAACTGGGGGGCAGAGACAGGCAGATCCCAGTCAGCCCAGAGGAGTTGTGAACTTCAGGTTCAGTGAATGCCTCAAAAAAAGAAAAAGTGAAGAAGTGACATCCAGATGACAACAGCCTCTGATCTCTATACACATCTAGTCAGATAAGCACGCACACACACACACACACACATGCACATGCACACGCGCACACACACATGCACACGCACACACATACACATGCACACACACATGCACACGCACACACATGCACACACACACACTAAAGTGTGGCTATGCTAGCTATTTTTATATGTGGTAACGTTAACTAAGATGCATGAATTTTTAAAAACTGCTGGTGGTTTTCCCAGGGTCCTACTGCACTTGGTAAACATGGACATGCCAGTGAGACCTGGCATTCTTGTCCAAAGACAGAGTAAGGACGTGGTGCCCTCACCCTTAGGAGAGAACAATGAGGCAGAAGAGGACAAACTCGGACAGACATTAGAGCCTTTGAATGCTAGAGAAACCACCAATGAGGTGATGTATGTTCTGCTTTGGGGTAGTTTAGGTTTGATGAAGAGAAGAGTCACCATGTGGGAAAAATAATTAGATATGGCATTGTCAGGCTGGAGACTCTTGTCCTCATCTTTCATTCTTATATTCCTGTTTTTCTTAATATTTCCCTCATTTTGTTTTTCTTATACTCCTGGGATCTTAGGGCTATAAAAGTCCCTATAAGTCATCTCGAATCTAAACTTTATGTCGCATGAAAAACTGGGATGTATGTCTACTGTCCCCCTGCTGCTGAGCTCAGGACCAGCCCTGTATCCTTGAGATCTTTGACATCAGCACACAAACACTTCCAGGACCTTCATGAGCTTCTACATGCCTCCATACCCATCCAAGACAGAATGCTGGCACATATTGCTCTCAACCCTGATGACATCAGTGCAGGCTCCTCTAGCCATAGGAATGGGGCAGCTGTGCAGGGTGGCGTATCACTGCTGCCTGTGCCGTCTGAAAATACCTTCTCTATTCTTGTTCACAATGTGCATTTGACAATGCTCTAAAACCCGGGCTCAGCATTTTCATAGGTCAGCCATTCATACAGTCTGTCGTGTTCCCATTACAGGGTGATAGCACTGAGAAAACACCCGAACAAGACTACAGAACTCCTTCAGTCACTGAAAGCCAAAGGAGACCTCTAAAGGGGGTGACGTTTTCTAAGGAAGTCATTGTTGTGGATCTAGGAAAGGAATACCCCACACCTCGAAGCTATGCTCGAGAGCATAAAGAGAGAAAGTGAGGTGCAGAAAAGGCGCCAGTGAGAGAAATGGAACCTTTGGCTGGCATGGGGTTAACTGAGAGCACGGGGTCGTGTCAGAGAGGCAGTGCGATGAGAAAAGAGCAGACGCAGAGGGTATTTTACTTTTGTCGGAAAGAAGTGAACTGTGCGAAATTCTGTACGTAAAATACTGAGCTCAAATATAGTTTTTAAAAAGCAAATCTGGGTTTGGTAAATCAACTATAATAAATGTCCTTAAATGTCTGTCTACTACAGCACTGTGTATTGTGTTTGTGCAGGGGTTTTAGGAGGCCAGCTTTGGATGCTTTGATCACAGGCGTTCATGATCCGATGTCACAGTAGTTGTCACCATGGGAAGCCCTAATGACTAGGTCTGGGTCCTCTGTGCATTGAATACAATCCAGAACTTTTCTTGTATTGACCATTGCATTATAAGATTGGCTCAAAAAAATGAACCAACAAAAAATACTGCTAAATTGGCAAATCTTAGAATAAGTCATTCTTGCTGGGTGTTGACGGTGCACACCTTTAATCCCAGCAGAGACAGAGGAAGGCGTATCTCTGTGAGTTCGAGGCCAGCCTGGTCTACAGATCAAGTTCCAGGACAGCCTCCAAAGCCACAGAGAAACCCTGTCTCAAAAAAAGAAAGAAAGAAAGGAAGGAAGGAAGGAAGGAAGGAAGGAAGGAAAGAAGGAAGAAAGAGAGAAAGAAAGGAAAGGTAGAAAGTGTAAGCCGTTCTTGATTTTTGTCATTTAAAAGAATGACCATAGGACTACAATAAATGTGAACAAAATATATCAGGCCATAACAGACAAAAACCAGAGCCCACTGCTGGCTCCGGGGCTCCACACATCGTTACAGCCTGTGCTAAATCAATGATGAGCGAGTGAGGGCTGCAAAAGTCAGAGTGTAGGACCAGCGTGAGCAGGTTTTGAACAACACGCCATGCAAAGAGAACACAAAAGACACAACCTAGCCGTGTCAGTGTGGAAAGTGTGCCACCTGGAGCTCGGGGCTGCCATCAGGAGAGCTGAGGGTACCTGGGGTGTACTGAGCAGCCTGGTGGCTGACGGAGTTCCAAGTGAGGTAGAAGCGCCATAGATGGTCTGCACTGGGAGGAGAAGCTGTAGAAATATTCAGTCTCTGTTCTCAGCAAACATTTTAGTATTTTATCTAAAGCTGACATTAAGATTTTGACTTTCACTATGGTAAAACACATATAACTAACGTATTGTTCAGTGGCAGTAAATTCATTTACATTGTTGTACAATCATAGCCATCCATTCATGGAAATCATCTGATAAAGCTGGAATTCTGCATACCAGTATTAGCTCCTGGTCCCTCCTCCCCAGTCCCTGGTGCTAGGACTTTGTCCCTGTGAATCTATTTCACACACCTCACACAAGTATAATGTATGTGTGTTTCCTTCTGTGACTGGCTTGTGTCATTTAGCACAGCATTCTCAGACGATTTAGCTGTCGCTACCCTCCCTGTAAAGCTGAACAACATTGTGTGTACACCATGCTAAGCTCACCCTCCCTCCACTGATGGACAGTGTGGAGCTAGCTCACCCTCCCTCCACTGATGGACAGTGTGGAGCTAGCTCACCCTCCCTCCATTGATGGACAGTGCGGGCCCATTTTATTTTAGAAATCTGTTCCACCCTGCCACGAGTTCAGCAGAGCCCAGAATTTCTATTGTCTTTTAGATGTCAGCTAATAGCTGCAGGAGGTTCCGGCCTCAGTTAGAGAGTGTCTCCTATTCTGAATAGCAATAGTCTTGGGTCAGGGCAAGTCTACACCACCCTGAAGGCTACTGAGATGTGCTGGTGTGGGGTGCCCGAGGACTTAAGTGCATGCAGAAAATGAGTGTCTCTAGGATTAAGGGAAGTAATTGCTGTCTGTCCTTCATACATGATAATAGATGTCTTCTGTCATTGTCCCCACCTTTGGACGGTTACTTAAGATAATGAATCAATAAACTGGGCACCTTCACCTTCAGTGTTAACTGATTGCCCTCCTGATATGATCAGATGTCTCTGTCTCTTCTCTAATGCCATTGCATAACCAGCTTTCCCGTGTCCACACTCCCCCACTCAGGGTCAAACCTGGGGCTGTTCAGCTGGTTCTGATCACAGCCCTGAAGACATCAGTCCACGATACACATGGCACTTAATGTTGATTTAAATTTCATTGGTTTTGTGCTGCTGTTTGCATTTTACTTGGCTTTTTTGTTGTTATTTTGGAGTCTAATTGTCAGTACTCAGGCTTACATTTCTATACATTTAGGTAGAACAGTGACAAACAGTTTAAGGCAGTAGTGAGGATAGGGATCCATGGATAGGGCGTTGAAGAACAATGGAGGTTGCTCTAGAGACAGCTCCAGGAGGACACAGACCTGGCACTGGGAAGAGCGTGAAGTGACAGCGTGAAGAGACTGCCATGTTGGAACCTTAGAGGAGTGATGAGTGGTATAAAATCGCCGAATGATGGTTGGATATGGTGGTGTGCCTGTAACCCTAGCACTTGAGAGACTGGGGCAGTAGGATTGTGAATTTGAGGCCAGTCTGAGCTACATAATGAGACACTATCTCAAATAAACAAAATAAAAATGCTGATGCCCATTGACTCAACAACAACAACAACAACAAAAAAAACAGAAACAAAAACAAATAAACAAAAACCCACTGGGTTTGGTACAGCACTCGGGAGGCACTGGAACAGTGACTTAGAGCTATAACCTGATTCACAGGCTGAAGAAAGAGCAAGGGAGAAAAACTGAGCCTGGCATGGGGTTTTGAAAATCTCAGAGCCTACCCCCGAGACACACCTGTTGTTGATTGGTAATTCTTTGAGAGCCCGCCACCCAGCTCCCAAATAAATCACACATGGAGGCTTATTCTTGCTTATGAATGCCCAGCCTTAGCTTGGTTTATTTCTAGTCAGCTTTTCTTAAATTAGCCCATCTACCTTGTGCCTCTGGGCTTTTCCCTTTCTATTACTTTGGTATATTGGTGGGGGATGTCCTTCTGTATATATATTTCTCTTATTGGATGGAGGCAGGAAGATAGGCGGGGCTAGGAGACAAGGAGAATTCTGGGAAAGGGAGGCAGGAGGAGACGACATGTAGCCAGCCAAAGGAGTAATAAGTCCAGGTATTCTCAGATAAGCCAAGACCACGTAGAAATACATAGATTAATAGAAACAAGCTGATATTTAAGACAGAGCTAGCCAGTAAGAAGCCCCAGCTATTGGCCAACAGTTTAATAATTAATCTAAGTCTCTGTGTGTTTATTTGGGGCTGAGAAGTGTGGTGGGACCAGCTGGACGAGTAACTGATGGCAACAGTATATCTTACTTTCACTTGTGCGTGGTGACTGACTGGGTGGCTGGCCCCTAGTGTCCTCTTCTCCTTGCTTGCTCTTGGTCCTCCTTCCTTTCTCCCAGATTTTCCCTTCTATTTACTCTCTCTGCCTGCCAGCCCCACCTATCCTTTCTCCTACCTAGCTATTGGCCATTCAGCTTTTTATTAGACCAATCAAGTGTTTTAGACAGGCAAAATAACAGCTTCACAGTTAAACAAATGCAACATAAAAGAATGTTATACATCTTTGCATCATTAAAACAAATGTTCCACAGCATAAACAAATGTAACACACCTTAAAATAATATTCTACAACATTTCCCCCATTTTGTCTAAATAAAAATAAAAAATTTTAACTTTAATATAGTAAAACTATACATAACAAAAACAGTTATCAAGTAAGAACTATATTTACAATATTCAATCCATTTGTATTTAGTAAATTCGGAGAAAGCACTCCAGTATCCATTCCATCTTACTGACTGCAAAGTTTTTATATGTAATTTACTTTCTGTTTGGGTGGAGCTCTGACTGGGGACACACCCCTCACTCTACCCAGTCCCAGAAAGCCTGTGAAATGGCGCCTCCTCCCCTAGAGATACAATGATTAACAAGAAAGTGGCACCATTGAAAGTGAAACCTTTGTGTTCCTGGGATAATCGATACTGTCTAGCAGGAGTTAAGACACTGGCAGTGATTAAAAAGAGACCCGCATCACTGGGGTGAAACCTTGCAAGTGTTTCCTCAGGGTAAGCATGCAGAAGCTACCTTCCAGAGGTGGCCAAGGTTGGGCCTCGTGCTGGCAATATAAGTGTCACGGGGGGGGTTGGTTTTGAAGCCGCAAAGGGGTCATGGGGAGCAACTGAGGATTGGCACTGTGTGGCAGGGCTGGGGTCCCTGAAGAGAGCCCAGGAGAGGCTACTGATGGAAGTACAGCCCGGTTGCAGCGAGAGACCCCAGCGCCATGGGACGACCACTGAGCAGCAGTGGAGGCATAAGCAGAATAAACCCTTCCTCCCCGACTTTCTTTGGCTGTGGTGTTTCATCTCAGCGACAGAGCCCTTAACTAAGACACCCTGGGCATGAAACCCAGGCTGCATGCGTGGTAGACAAACACTCTCCCAAGAGCCACAACAGCTCCCAGAGCTCTTCAGCCACTTCCTTTTCCTACTTCAAAAAATATTGGATTTGGATGGGAGAGATGGCTCAGTGGTTAAGAGCACTGGGTAATGTTGTGCCCAAGTCGCAAACTCCCCAGAGACTGCCAGGAAGACAGACCCACCAAAATGCAAAAGCAAGGTTTTAATTGTTCATCCAACCATGACAGGGACCCCGTCAGCAAGCTGATGCAGCAGCCTCCAGAGGGAGTGAAGGTCCCTGTCTACTGCTAGGTTTTATAGACAAAAGTTACAGGATTACATCAGTAGGTACAGGTTGGTTTCCGATTGGTTGACATTTGGGAACAATTAGGAACATTTCTCAAAGTCATGTTTTTGGCATGAAATACCTGTGTACCAATTATTCTCATTGGTCAGTGCTGAGAGGGAACATTCTGTGGTTTCTATGGCATTTTCTTGTTACTTGCAGGTGGCCTGTTGTGCATAGATACCAATAGTTTTCAGAACTGTATCCTGGAGACTACAGGGGAGGTTTTGGTCCCCCCTGGAGTTTCTTCTGTGACCAAACAGTTCCCAGAAACCAAGTATCTAGGAGGTTGGGGGGGTGGTCTGGAGTTTCTTTGTGTTCAGTTTTGGCCCTAGACTCCTGGATGCCAGAGGATCTGGAGTTTCCTTGCGTCAGAGGCCTACGTGTCTTTTTCTGTAGCCTTCCATGGCTG